AAAAAAAAAAAAAAAAGCTGGGCACTGTGTCGGGCACCTGTAGTCCCAGAAGCTTGGGAGGGCAAGGCAAGAGGATCACTTGAACCCAAGAGTTTGAGGTTGCTGTGAGCTAAGATGTCGCAGCACTCTAGCATAGGCAACCAAGTCAGATTCTGTCTTAAATAAACAAAAAACAAACAAACATAGCCTTCCCTGACTCTACCCAAATGAGATCCAAGGAATGCTCAGCTTAGAGTCTTTGCTTACACTTGTTTCTAATCACATGCCTACTACTTTTCTTTCCCCTTCAAAATCCTGCCCTATTTTCCACTGTTTAATCCACGCTATCTGCTTCATGAAGCATCTCCTACCAGTTCCAGTCCACAAGGGTCGGACTTTTTATCCTATGATCTCCTTTTTACAACGCCTACTTGGCTCACTTGGGACAGGATCAAATGCCTAAGGACAGACCTCATATATATGTATCTTACTAGTTTACCCCTTCTTACATGAATTTATATATAGGCGAGGGACTGACTCTCTACCATCTAAACAGCAAGCTCTTTGAAAGGAGTTACAATGTACTGTATCTCTCTGGTCTCCAACAGAGCCTTGCCCATGACATGTGCTTGACAAAACTTGCTTAATTCATGAATGACTGGAGAACAAAGGAAGGAACAGACAGACTGTCAACAGGAAGGACAGATGGCAGGGTAGTGAGAGATTCTAACAGGGAAGGAGATGGGCAGAAATGAAGGAAAGGAGATTTAGACGCGAGAAGGGAGGCATGGTATGATGCCAGAGCTGGGGAGATGAGTACCAAAATGCCCACTGGGAAAGGGATGTGGCCCTGGACCATGAGGAGGCTCCAAGTGGGCTCCAGGGACTGAGCCTCCACTAAGCAGTGAGGTAGGAGGGGATTCCTTTGTTGCACCCAAAGCTGCCATCTCCTCCAAACGCATTTCCTGTTGCTGTGCTGGAGTTGTAACCTAGAGACAAGGAAACAAAATTGGTTACAAAAGAATTTTCTTAAAAGTATTGACCTCAAAACCTCTAAGTCATTGTCCCCCAGAACAAAAGCCAAACAAGCCAAACAAAAGAACAGCCATGGTGTCCTTCCCGCCCTACCAGTACAGGGGGAAAAGTACGTCAAATCAGAATCTAAGGCTGCTAGCTGGGCATTGTGGCCGGCACCTGTGGTCCCAGCTGTTCGGGAGGCTGAGGCAAGAGAATCGCCTAAGCCCAAGAGTTGGTGGTTTGCTGTGAGCTGTGACGCCATGACACTCTACCAAGGGCAACAAAGTGACACTCTGTCTCTAAAAACAAACAAATAATAATAATCTAAGGCTACAATCCTACTTGTCATTCTTCTGTCAACCTGTTGGTGGGAGTCTGAAGCCTAGATTCTAAAACCATTTCCACTGTGTCAGGACTTTAGACATAAATTTCCTTATAAAGAACCATCCAGAATAGGGAACCAGGAGGGTAATTCCAGAATAGGGAACACGGAGTATAATTCAGTACCTTAACCTACAGAAAGGAACAATCAGGCTTGGTGCCTGTAGCACAGTGGTTACAGCACCGGCCACACACACCAAGGCTGGCAGGTTCGAACCCAACCTGAGCCAGCTAAACAACAATGACAACTGCAACAAAAGAACAGCTGGGCATTTCAGTGGGCACTGAAGTCCCAGCTACTTGGGAGGCTCAGGCAAGAGAATCGTTTACGCCAAAGAGTTTGAGGTTCCTGTGAGATGTGATGCCATGGCACTCTACCAAGGGCGACACAGTGACAGTCTGTCTCAAAAAAAAAAAAAAAAAGAAAAGAAAAGAAAAAAATCAGAAGTATAAAGGAAATAAAAAATTATAGGTATGTGTATCTATGTGTACTATGCACAAATAATGCTACTGAAGCTGATAGGTGAAGTGATACTCCAGCACAGTGGCTGATAAACCTTAAGATAACTTTTCTGATTTCCCTCAGCAAATATGTGTTCTCTTCAGAGAAGTGTCCCTTGATCAAACTAACAAAGCAGGGATAGTCACTCTCACATTAATTGATTAGACTTTCTATACAGCATTCACTGATCTTTAAATTATTTATGTCTTTATTGTCTGTTTTTACCCACTGAAATATACGTTTTTGGAAAGTAAGAACTTTGCCTTGATCACTTGCTCCAAAATAGTATTTGGTCCAAAATTGATACACAATTGAAATTTGCTGATTGACTTCTTAACATTTTGCTAAGAGATTTTAGTGTTATCTACAAACTGTTTTCAGTATGTACTACCTCTCCCCAATAATTTATATTTAACAAATCGAATAAGATCAGACAACATTCTTTAGAGATCTTGAGAATACCTCAGAGCATAGACATTGTCTTTCTAACCCTTGTCTGTTATCAAACCAGTGCCTCATAATCCCATAGTTACTATGTTTACCAGTATTTGGAGCAGAAAACTTAGGTGTAAGTAACTTTTCCTTCAATAAGCAATACTGGATTTGCCCATCTACTGTCTTTAATATGTATCTCATCAGCATAGTGGTGGGAGGCTCCCTGGGGTCTGTTGTTCTCAAACTCACCACTTAACAGTTCTCATACTGGGCAGCCATAAAGTTCATTCATGTGCAATTTAAATAGCTGTAAGAACTCGTAGTCATAGCTCTCTAATGCAAGAGCTGTGGGTATTAGCAGAAGATAGCAGTTAACTGCACTGTGGTAATACAACTTAGTAATTCACTGACAAATAAATCCTGGTATAGTTCTTATTCACCATTTAGGACTCAAACGTATAGATTCTTTTCTTAAAGGCATGAAAACCTCACTCTAACTCTTACACTAGAGAAAAGCTAGTGGCTTAGAATGTAGGAAGCTGGCCTGGTCCTCACACTTGGGGGTTAAAAGCAATAACCACATTTGAGCTAAATCTTGTGGATAAGGGAATGCTTACTAGATATGTTATCTTGAACAAGCTAATTAATCTGTGTTCATTTTACTGCAGTGCTTATTTTGTAAGCCTGGTAGGAGTTGAAATAAGATACAGGACATAAGAGCATTTTGCAAATTGTATAATTCTGCAGCCCTCCAGGGATCACCCTACACCCCTTTCCTAGCCCAAACAGGCACACATGCACATGCTCTTCCTGCAGTGATAGAAAAGCTTAGTTCCAAACAAGCAGAATGACTCTGATTTGCCCTGATCCACCTTAATCTCCTCCTGGCAAAATGCCAAGGAAAAGCTTGTTTAGCAATTCTATGAACATCTTCTGAACCCCTGCTAGGAAAGGCAAGCTTGCCCTCCTGTCCTCATGCCAGAAAACTTTTTTTTGAGAGAGTTTCACTTTGTCCTTCTGCCCTCAGTAGAGTACTGTGATGTCACAGCTCACAGCAACCTCCAACTCCTGGGCTTAGGCAATTCTCTTGCCTCAGCCTCCAGAATCCCTGGGTCTACAGGCACCCAACACAATGCCCGGCTATTTTTCTTGCAGTTTGGCTGGGGCCGGGTTTGAACTTGCCACCCTCGGTATATGGGGCTGCCCATCATGCCAGAAAATTTAACACTGACAACAATGGTAGAGCAAGAAACAGAGTCCAAAGACCCACTCCTAGGCTGGAGCCATTAGTGTTCAACTGCCTTCCTTGTCAACTGTTAGTCATTCCCTTGTCACTCTCTTGGATGTGACTTGACAGCACTTCTTTCTGAGGCTACAGGGAGGGAGCATTCACTTCTGCTTAAACAAAGGATAAATAAATAGGGAAATTTTCCTTACATCATCTTTGTTAAATGGCACTCTAAATGTCATCAGGGCAGCGCCTGTGACTCAGTGAATAGGGCGCTGGCCCCATATACATACAGAGGGTGACAGGTTAGAACCCAGCCCTGGCCAAACTGCAACAACAAAAAAATAGATGGGTGTTGTGGCAGGCACCTATAGTACCAGCTACTTGGGAAGCAGAGGCAAAAGAATCGCCTAAGCCCAGGAGTTGGAGGTTGCTGTGAGCTGTGACATCACAGCACTCTATCAAGGGCGATAAAGTGAGACTGTCTCTAAAAAAAATAAAAATAAAAAATAAATATGTCATCAGCTACTTGTCATTGCCACGGCTGGCCCAGCTGCTCTCTGGACCCTCATGATGGTTGACTTGTTCATGTGAGTTTACTTTTTACCCACAGAAAATGATGAATGATGACGGATTTGTTAATGACAAACATGCACTAGATGGTCTTCTTGGAAAAATGTCTAGCCCTAGACATTCAACTGAAATTTTCATCAACTGAAACGGATTCCCTAGTGACAGATACTTAATCAGTCTTTAGTAAGAGCTTAATAAAATAATATACTGGATATTTGAGAATTTATTTTTTTTAAACAGAGTCTCAAGCTGTTGTCCTGAGTAGAATGCCACGGTGTCATCATAGCTCACAGCCAACTCCAACTCTTGGGCTCAAGTGATCAACCCTCTTGCCTCAGTTTTTTCTATTTTTTTTAGTAGAGACAAGGTCTTGCTTTTTGCTCAGGCTGGTCTTGAACTCGTGAGCTCAAGTAATCCACCCACCTTGGCCTCTCAGAGTGCTAGGATTGCAGGCATGAGCCACCACGCCCAGACTGAAAAATTTTATATACTAGTTTTTTCTCAAAAAGTGCAAACAGGCTCAGCACCTGTAGCACAGTGGTTACGGGGCCAGCCACATACACCGAGGATGGCGGCTTTGAACCCAGCCAGGGCCAGCTAAAACGACAATGACAACTTGCAACAAAAAATAGCCGGGTGTAGGGCCGGCCCCATATACCAAGGGTGGAGGGTTCAAACCCAGCCCCAGCCAAACTGCAACAAAAAAATAGCTGGGCGTTATCGTGGGCACCTGTAGTCCCAGCTACTTAGGAGGCTGAGGCAAGAGAACTGCTTAAGCCCAAGAGCTGGAGGTTGCTGTGAGCTGAGACACCATCACACTAGACCTAGGGCAACAAAAGTGAGACTCTGCTTCTAAATAAAAAATATTTTTAAAAATAGCCAGGTGTAGTGGTGGGCATCTGTAGTCCCAGCTACTTGGGAGAATGAGGGAAGAGAATTGCTTAAGCCCAAGAGTATGAGGTTCCTGTGAGCTGTGATGCCATGGCACTCTACCAAGGGCAACAAAGTGAGACTTTGTCTCAAAAAAAAGTGCAAACAGGTAACACAGAGGGAACTCTAATGTACTGTGCTCAGGTTACACAGGAACAAGTTGAGACTCAATAGGAGTAGCTAATTTATTCATGGTATAAAGATCTTTCGAAATGTCAACTTGGTACTAATCAAACATCAAGGTGTTTCTGTGAAGTACTTTGTAGATGTGCTTAGAGTCCTTAATCAGTTGACTTTAAGTAAGGCAGATTATCCTAGACAGCAGATGGATCAATCAGCCTAACTCAATCAGCTGTAAGGCCAAGCAGAGCTGAAGGTTCCGTGAAGAAATTTCAACTGTGCACTGTTGCAGCTTCATCTGTGCCAGAGTTCCGCCCTGCTTTATGGATTTCAGACTTGCCTACCCAGCCCCACAATCACATAAACCACTTTCTAGTAATAAACCTCTTCACATGTACATAGATACACACCCTCCTCTCCTACTGGTTCTGCTTCTCAGGCTGAACCCAACTGAAATATACACTGACAGAGCTCTTTAGCAATGTGGGCCTAGCAGCCAGACATTCTAGTATATCATACTGACAATTTTTTCCAATGTTTCATCTAGTTTACGTTATCTTGGCTTTAAATTGGAGAGAATCTCAGAAAACAGGGAAAAATCAAAATTAGAATTAAATAGGCAAAAATGCCCCAGTTTGGTTTGGAGAGTTAGCAAAAGGTACAAACTGTTACAAGACCCAAAAATGTCATCTCCCATAAGGAACCTATGAGGCAGGAAGGAGAGAATTGATTCTGAGAAGTCTAAGGAAGAGAGCAATGAGAACATGACGGTAATGTTATCAGCATAACCAAAGGTCCACCTCCCTCAACCTCTTGTTCTAACCAGCATGAAGTTCCTCTGTCTGAGAGGAGTGTTATGTGATTTTCAGGCTGAAGCTAAAACACAGTATTTCACAGTGATTTGCAGAACTTAGCTAAGATTTGCATTTTTGTTTATGGCTTAGAGCACAAAACCATTTCCCCTCTATCCATGGAACAAATTCAGAAATCCTAAGGGTAAACCAGTCTAGAGCCTGAGGAATGGAGAATGCCTATTTTCAGGCTAACCCAAGCACTACAGAATGGTTCCAGATGCCATGCTAGACAGTGGCTCACCTCTCCTGATCCATTGAGGTGTCTCTGGAAATCCTCCACCACAGCCACAGCCTCCTCACCACTCTCAGGGTGATGGAGCTGTACCCAGGTCCGGAGCTCCGTGGGTAGGATGCTCAGAAACTGCTCTAACACCAGCAGCTCCAGGATCTGCTCCTTGGTGTGTACCTCTGGCATCAGCCACCAGCGGCAGAGCTCCCGGAGGCGGCTCAGAGCTTCCTGTGGCCCAGACATCTCGTGGTAACATAACTGCCTAAAGTGCAGGCGGAAGATTTCACAGACAGGAGGGTGGTTCTTTTGGAGACTGCAGCCCTGTCCCCACGTCTGGCTCTCTGGCTCCTGCTTCACATTCAGGCGTCCCTCCTGCTTCTGGAAAATAGCACTCCTGGGGACAAGGCCTAAAGTTCCCCTGCCTCCAGTGGTCATTGTGACCCCAAATAGAAGCTTGTTCCAGCTGTAGTTGGTCTGCTTAAAATGATGGTCTGTAGTTCAGGACTTAGAAGCTGTTTTGCAGGGTTGGGGAAAAGGGTGATGGGAGAAATAAAAGAGAAATCAGAATCTCCAAAGTATTCAGCTCCAGGCTGATGACAGATTCTCCAATGAGTTAAAAAGGAAAACTCCCGGGAAAGAAGTACACAATCTAAGCATCTCTTCAAGTGACTTCCCTTCTTAAAAATTTCAGTGGCTCCTATCTCCTACAGGATAAAACCTAAATGTCTATGGACCTCTGATTTAATCCAAATTTCACAGATCAAATCTTTTTAATACAGTAAGTTTAGATTTACTGTAGTAAGTAAAAAGGCAACACTCAGGGATCCAGGAGGCCACAGGTATCCCATCCCTGGTCTATCCCTAGCATTCATAGTCCTTCACATTTTAGCCTAAGATCGCTGATCTAGCCACGTCCCCTACACTCTTCGCAAGTACTCAGGTTAGAAAGACAGCAATGGTCTCCAATGTGGGAAATGCAAAATATTCCAAAGAAAATACCAAGTTGTTATTTAATGCCCATTTAATATGTTTTATGATGTGCATTAGTATTTTTATAGTAGTACACATCTTTACGTTGCAAATAAGTTTACCTAGGGAGTGCATAATCAAAACTCTTTTACTGATAAAGCTGCACAATAAAATTTGGAACTAAAGTTCTAAAGATGTAGCCAGAAACCACATAATACTATTTCCCTGTTTGGCCTTTTTTTTTTCCTTCCGTTCCATTTTTGACAAACTCATCTCTCAAGACCCAGAATAAATGCCATTTTCTCTTGAAGGCTTTCCTGATTGCTCCAGGAAGAAACTCGGTAGCTTTTCTTTGCGTACCACTCACTATTTTAACTCTTTCATGTAAAATTCACCACTCTCACCCTCCAAACTGCTGAACAGCTACTAAAGGAAAAGGAAGCAGATGGAGTCAGAAAATATAAGATCTTTTTCTACTCAAGGCACCTCCTGTAGAAAGCCTTCTTGAGCTCTGGAGGCTTAAGTTTGTTATCACCTCAGTCTGAATTTCGTGCTAGAGCACTTCTCAACACTAATTATTTGTGGTTTAAACGACTGTCTTCCCCCACTTTCTCAGAGGACTCAAAGGGCAGGGATGACTTCCATTCATCTTTTTACACATGTGCATACATGACACACAGAAGCACATTGTAAAATAAATGAATGTGATTCACTCAGCTGATATTTAAGGGGGGGGGACTTTGAAAATGAGCACCCTTGGCTAAGCGCCTGTGGCTCAAGTGGCTAAGGCGCCAGCCACATACACCTAAGGTGGAGGGTTCGAATCCAGCCCCGACCTGCCAAAACAACAATGACGGCTGCAACCAAAAAATAGCTGGGCGTTGTGGCGGGCGCCTGTGGTCCCAGCTACTTGGGAAGCTGAGGCAGGAGACTCGCTTGAGCCCAGGAGTTGAAGGTTGCTGTAGGGACAGCTTGAGGCTCTGTCTAAAAAAAAAAGGAGCACCTTAGTATAACAAGGGCGTCCGTGCTGTGCTTCCAATTCACCATGCATCCCAAATTCCTGGATAAGCTATTTTTCTCTGAACCTCAATTTCTTTAAAAAGACAATGACGGACTTCAAAATAATCTTTAGTCTCTGCTCTAAAACCTCATACAATTAAGGAGTTCAGGCTATTTTCCTACTTTCCTTACTGTTCCGAATGACCAGCAGCTCCAAATCACATTTAGTGTTTGAAATTCTGAGTGTGGAGATGACCCATTCCTAAAGGTTTGCATCATCACCTAGTACAAGGCCGGGAAAACGACTATCTACCTTTCGTGTAAAACCAGGATTCTGCGGCGCCGCTCACCTGGCCACGTCTGCCCCGTTCCTCGCTGTATTCGCAGGTGCCCGACTCCGTGCTAAGCACGGCTGGTCATAGGAATGCGACAAAGAAGCGGCCCCACATGCGGCGGCTTCTGAGCGTCACCGGGACCGCGCCGCCCGCCGCAGGGCAAAGCGCGGTCCCGCCGGGAGTCGGCCCCGCCGCGACCCTGTCCCTGGCCGCGCTTCCTTCCCTGTCCCGGTCCCCCTCGCGGCTATCACTCAGGAACGACACCAGATACCTCTACCACCGGCCGAAGCGAAAACAATGGCCGAGCCGGAAGCGAGAGAGGCCTCAGCTTCCGGCTCCTCCAGGCTCCCGGAAGTGTCTGTTGTGGGGGTGCGCCCGCGCGTCCCCGCGCCCCGAAAAGCTGGTTGGACCCTCTGCCGGCAGTTCCCGGCCACCAGCGACCGAAACCAGAGCCCGGCCTCACACAAAGCCCCAGGCCGCGCGCATCCTCCCCTTAGACCAAAGGTGGACAACCTAGACTCACCCCAGCGCTTCCCCTCCCCCTCCAAGTGAACTTGGGAAAGACATCCAGCCTCTAAACCTGTTCTCGTGTCTGAAAAATGCGGAGCATAGCTCTTACCCACTTTCGAGCGCTGAGTGAGGTAACACATAGGCACTGCATAGCAAAAGCCCATTATACCCGGCGGCGCCTGTAGCTCAGCGGCCGGAGCTACACCGGAGCTGGCGGGCTCCAACCCAGCCCAGACCTGCCAAACAACAATGACAACAACCACCTAAAAATAGCCGGGCGTTGTGGCAGGCGCCTCTAGTCCCAGCTCCTTGGGAGGCTGAGGCAAGATAATCACTTAAGCCCAGGAGTTTGAGGTTGCTGTGAGCTGTGATGCTATGGATGTTACGACACTCTACCGAGGGTAATATAGTGAGACACTGTCTCAAAAAAAAAAAAAAAAAAAAAAGAATGAAAAATGGTTTACATACAGAAGCAGGATGTGAACAGGTCTTTGCTGCTAACCTTGTTGTGCCCTTGGAGGCACAGCCTCTTAAGTGTGATGTCCATGGGTGAAGGAAGGGCAGATGCTAACAAGGAAATAAGTAACTACGTATATTCACGAACTACTATCTCTTTGTAGTTCAGGAGGTAGGTCCTTTACCGGATTCAAAGTAAGCAGTCTCCTGGGTTAGCTAGGAATCAGGAATATTTCAAAGATATCCTGGGCCTACCTCTGGCCCTGACATGTTTTCCTTATATATCTGGAGCGAAGGCATCAAAAGTCATGCTCCAGAGTTTGCCTGACACTGCCATTGGACATGGCCCTTAGTCCACTGAGGTCTCAGAAGCTCAGAGTTCTTGGCTAAAACATCTCTTAGGCCAAATGCTTTTAGCCCCAGTTTCTAGTTTCCCTGATCATGGGTCATCCTGCAGTTTGTAGGAAACACAAGGATCTGGAAACCAAGGTTGAGGTTTTTATTCTTCGAAGCTGTTTTGCACAAGTGGTTGACTTTCATTGTCAAGAGGCAGGCCCAGGCCCAGCGCAGTGGCTCACACCTCTAATCCTAGCCCTCTGGGAGGCAAGAGGATCGCTTGAGCCCAGGAGTTGGAGATTGCTGTGAGCGATGCCACCACAGGACTCTACCCAGGGTGACAGTTTAAGACTCTGTCTCAAAAAAAAAAAAAAAAAAGAGCCAGGCCCATCTTGGCAGTGTGTCTACACTTCAGAAGTGCTTCTGTGGTCGGCACTGTGGAGCTTATCTACCACAACTGGATCAGGCCCTAGTAAGCAAGACATGCTCTGTGATGCCTGCCATATAACATGTTGGGGCACCTACATTTGGGCCAAAGACAACCCCAGAAGCCCTTCAGGAATTCTATACTCTACCCTTTATTGAAAACCATCATATAAGCTTTGGTATGAGAGGTAACAGATAGGTAACCAAAGTTCCACATACCTGAAGTAAAACTCATTACTCACAGTCCTGAAGCTTTACCCATGTTCCCAGTAAACAGTACTATCATTTACTCAGCGTCCCAAAGTAGAACCCTGAGTGTCACACCATGAGCAAATTAGTTAGCTGTCTATGCTATAGCTTTCTTATCTGTAAAAATGGGGATAATAGTATGCTTACATTGTAGAGTTTATGAGGATTGGATGAGATAAAATATACAAAGCACTTAGAATAGTACCTGGCGCACAGTAAGTATTATAAGTGTTTTCTACAATTGTGTTTAATGTCCTTGTTTCCTCTCACTTCATTCCCTGCATTCTTGCTAAGGCCTGCAAAGTTTAGCCCATATGTATGTAACAACAACAGAAGATATCTATAGCACTTACTATGCCACTGTGCCTTACCATCTTGTTAAGCCCTGCCTAGAGTAGGGGGAGCTATGAGAAGCATGTTCCTAGGGATTTTCAGGATTTAACAACAAAGAGAGGAGCATAGTTAGACCTAGAGAGTCTCTGCCCCCAAACTGCTCAGACCCTTTGATGTCATCTATCTGGACAGTCCTTTTCCAACAGCCAGAACACTTATACAAACCCTAAAAAAAGATGGGGCCCTACACACACCAGGGTGGGAAGCTTGCTGTGATATTAGTTCCAAACCTCAGCCACTGTGATTGAATGGGAGTGGATGGGGCCCAAGCCCTAACTAGGAGAACAGAGAGACCTTCCTTTTGTAGATAGAATTTCTCTTTCTGCCAAGTGCTTGATCTTGAGGTTCAAGAATGAGTCCAGGGGCTCGGCGCCTGTGGCTTAAGTGGCTGAGACACCAGCCACATATACCTGAGGTGGCAGGTTCGAGTCCAGCCCGGACCTACCGAACAACAATGATGGCTGCAATCAAAAAAAATAGCCAGGTGTTGTGGCAGGCACCTGTGGCCCCAGCTACTTGGGAGGTGGAGGCAGGAGACTCGCTTG